GAGCGGTGACAAACCTCCAACGTCAAAGAGAGCAATCAAGCATAATCTCACAATCTTGGGCAGAGGCGTAATTTTCCTGAAAGGTTAAGTGTTTCTTGAATGTACTGACGGCAGTGCCAAGACCTGCCTTCACAAGTCCATCTTTGCAGCAGGACTGTGGTTGCCTGTTAATTTGCGCATGGGATTCAAAGGAGCACGTGTGACTCCAGTCAGCCTTTCATCACATACAGTCTCGGCTCTGAAAGCGGGCATGCCAACCATTTACCCAAATATTTACCATCAAAAAAGGTTATAAACTGCATGTGGATCTAAGTGAGACCTTTAACTAACTGTCCCATTACTGTTTATATATATTTACTATGTATACTGTATTAATGTTTGTGTATGTGAGAGAGAGAGGTAGTGAGGTAGAGAGTCCTATCAGATCAATGGTGGTCTGTTTGGCGTGGAGCGGAGCTAAAAGACCATTCAGTTGTCAAAATAAAGCCTGTGGAAGTGAACTGCGGGTCACTGCAGCCCTCTCCATTGGTTTATTAGTGTGGTTTGTGTCGAGAAGTAGGCATCCTTTAATGTAGACTGCAGCGAAAAGGGCAACGAGGTCCTCTAATGCCACTGCATGGTATGGCTCTGCACGTCTGCACTTCGGCGTAGTGTGCAACGTAAGTTTATGGGCTGCCATTGTTTTTATAAATCAGGGTCGAGTGAATAAAACAATTAGCGTCGCTTTTGACAGTATCAGCATAGCTTGGCTATTTAAAAAATGTCCGTGTTTGTGCAGGATGTCCTGTTTCGCACTACTGATTGATTCTCTCTGACCAATCAGTGGTCTACAGTGTTTTAACTTCACCTTCTAGTATGTCCTCGGATCGCGTTGGACATCGACTGAGGTGGTGCTACAAAAAGTACAAGGTGCTACTCACAACATTTGCTAATGGAAACGCGAAAAATAGCCATTCTAATGTGTAATGAATTTAATTGAACTGGACTAAACTGGACTAAACTGGACAGGACTTGACTGGAATGGACTGGACTGAAACTGGACTTGACTGGATTAGACTAGACTGGACTGGAGTAGACTGGACTGGACTAAACTGGACTGGACTGAAATGGACTGAAATGGACTCAAAAGAACTGGACTGGATTGAAATGGACTGAAATGGACTGAAACTGACCTGAAACTGAACTGGACTAGATTAGACTGGACTGGACTGGACTGATCTGAACTGGACTGGACTGATCTGAACTGGACTGGACTGGACTGGTCTGGTCTGGACCGGACTACGATTGAACTGAAGCTCAGCCTAAAATACAGTTTCAATTGGGAAAAACAGCTTAGCGGTTTCTTAAATTTGTAACACAATTCAGGGAGCTCACCATCTCTTAAAAATAATGCAGAATAAGAGCTCACCAGTAGCATTATGAGATACAGTGAGTCAGGGCATGTGGCTGCTGATAGATGAAAGTTAAGTCAAAGGCTAGTCTCTCTAAAACATTCACTTGCACTCCCATTCAGTGCCCATTTACTGGTTTACTGCTGTGAAGAAGGGCAAAGTCTCATCCTCTACACCCAAACACAACTAATGAAATTCCTGAAACTTAGCTCTGTCCAATCTATCTACCACAGCAGAGCGCAAAGGGAGCACTTCCCGTGGGGGAGCAACGGCCGGCACAAAAGCCTCTCTATCCACACCGTACGGCGCCGAGCCCGACCAGAAATATCACTCACTGCTTCTCTATTTAGAGCAGAGGCATCTCTCACTCTCTTTTTCTTCTTTCACGCCACTTCTGTGACCTTTGACCTTGAACTTAACTGAAAACAGGAACATTTACTGAGGGGTTTTTTGTATGCCAACTGTGAGGGTTGTGATAACAGTGTTTTTTTCCCTCTGAGTGATGGGGAGCAAGTTGCCAGCTCACTCAAGAGGTGACCAACAAAATCGTTCATGTGTCCACAGACGATCATTTGCGGAAAGAAAAAGAAAGAGAACAAACAGAGCTATACTTGATAGCTGGTCTATCCATGATGTTTTTTAAGAAATACTTCAGTTGGGGTACCATTTAATTTTCAACTCACTAGTCAGCTGTAGAGCTTTACATTTTCTCACTTTCTCTCTGTAAGATAATGCTGCTGGTCTATTAAGTGGCCCACTCAAGAGTGAATCACCATGGCCCACTGTTTAAACAAATGTATAAAGTCAGGCAGACAATGTTCAGATTAAGATTTGAAGCAGGCATTGGACACCACGACTCACTTTAGAATTAGGCCGAATTCCTGCCAGATGGTCTATGGCAGTTAATTAATCAACCTGAATGATAAACGATCTGGCTCTTTGGCGAACCGTTGGATTTCTGGAAGGTCCGAAATTTTGGTCAGCTGTTCACGATAAATAAAGAAGGGACAGTGTCAGCCCAGCTTAAAGGTGCCCTGTTTTTGTTCAGTGTCCTCATATAACATTTGCAAATATGATTTTTTTTTTGAAGTATTTGAAATCCCATTGTTTAAATTCATGTTTACTAGCTAGTCTTGACTGGCACATCGCTGCCACCTGTAGATCATTGGAACAGTGTGGAAGCATTGGAAGCGCTGTGTATCCAGTCACCTTGGTGTGTGTGTGTGTGTGTGTGTGTGTGTGCATGTGTGTGTGTGTGTGTGTGTGTGTGTGCATCCTCATACACATGCACAACAAGTAAAACAAGGGCCCTGTCATTAAACTGCTCCACTACTAGAGGTCGAAAACTCCACGAGTGTCTAAAGCTGTAGTTCCGTGAATGGCCACTAGATGTTGGCCACAATATTTGTCTGACTTGAACATGAAAAAACAAACTTTTCTTAAACATTCATATTCTGTCATCACCTCAGGTATCGAGGGGGCTTGTTTAGCTGACTGGAAATGGTTTCACGTGGTATAGTTGCGACGTGCTCATCCCACCTCTGCTCCTCCCGGCTACTTGCCTAAATAATTTAGACATTGTGGCTTCGGTAATTTGACGAGGATGGCGGTGGGTGGTGAACCCAACTGACACTTCAAACAGTCCCTTCAGAGAGCTGTGGGTGATGTCAAACGCACAACGGTTTTCTTTCCCACAGTCTGTGTGGCCTTCTGCATAACTTGATATGTTGAGCACGAGTGCGACTTTGCAACAAAAGAAAAGCACTCGAAGGACCCCGGTGTGTTTACAGTCCCTATAGTATGTTTTCACTGACCAATGGGTCAATCGCCTAAAATGTAAGCGTTTCATTAACATGCTAAGCCTGAAGGAGGAATCGGGACGACACCCAGAGAGAGAGAGAGAGAGAGAGAGAGAGAGAGAGAGAGAGAGAGAGAGAGACGTAGCTCATATTCCAACAACACAATGTGATCACCGCCCACATGGATGAGCGTCCATTAGGATCCTCAACATGCCAGTCAGGTGTGCAGGCCACCCAAGACATGTCTCTCTCTCACACACAGATTCAGGAACTGGTGTAAATTTACAACCAGTTTGCCGACAGCGGCTGAACTGCTGTGAAGCCTCCTGTAAATCAAAGTGACTGACATAAGTTACACAAAGATCAGGTTCAAATCCAAATTACATCCTGTACTCCTCATTCCCCCTCGAGCCAGATGTGTATCATCACACTCCTTTCTTCCTCCCCCCTTCTCTCTCTCTCTCTCTCTCTCTCTCTCTCTCTCTCTTTCTCTCCCTCATTACACACATATTTTCTGTGCCTGTTTCTTGGCTCATCGAGACGTCAACGAGTCACCGTGGCAGTCTTCTTGTAACGTTGTGAAGGCAGCAAGCGGCCAAGAAGTGCTCAGAGACACTGTGCTTCAACCAGAGGGCTAAGGTTGTCAGTGAACAACCAAAACCGCTGAAGGGCCCTCGAGCAAGACACTGAATGACTTCAATCCCTGTTAAGTTGCACAGAATTTAAGCAAAGATAAAAGTCGACGAGGTAACACATTTCTTTCTGTCATGCATAAATTCAAATAAATATTTTAATTCTTGAAGAATTCTTGGGGCTAGCAGCTCCAGGCTACATTAGCAGCTAATAACATACCCCACCTGAATCTCTGGCAGAAATGTTGGTTGTCACGGTGCATCGTGGGTAATGTAGGCACAAGGTTTTGTCAAGGAAGAAGTATGCGTCAAAGTGCAATGCTAAACTGTTGGTGGGAGTGAAGTTTTAGGTGTGACAGAGTATTTTTATAGTGTGGTATCAGCACTTTTAATCAAAGGATAAAGGATGCAAAAACATGTCGTATTGTTTAATCTGAATGCTTGTTAGTAGCCTCAGATATAATGTACCAGAAAAGCTACAGATTAGAAGACAGAACAATGATTTTTCTTTCCTCCTGGTACTGTTTCATGACCCATGTACAGGATCAGAAGGATCTTTACCCCTTAGTTATGGTCCCAACCCCCTCTGGGGCTTTTACTGCACATGAGTAAAAAGGATAGCCAACATTTTGTGAATATTAATCATAATCCCCTTCTATTTTGAAGGATTTGTTTTTAATGTTTGTTCATTATGAAAGGTCATCACATTTCTGTTAGGTGTAAAGAGGGTGCATTATGGGTACAGCCACAACTACTAGTGTTTACGCCTCACTGGACTCGCAGAATAAAAAGTGCTGCAGATGTTGAGGCTCGCAAGGCTCAGAATGGAAACGCCTTGGAATCTATTGTGGAGTGAGCGGCAGAACTAATTCCTTCACAGTCCTCTGAAAATTCCATTGACTGAGGCGCGCTCCTCCCGCTGCCTGGCTGGGACGCATGCCCGATGTACACCGGCACACCCCCATACTGGGCCGCTGCTGAATAGACCACTGACTTCACCCAATTCAGCCTTTACTTAGATCGCCCGGTCTGGTCCCACCCATATGTGAACAGCTTTTGTCACAAGTGAAAAAAAAAGAAAGTCCTTTACAGATTTTTTTTCTTCTTTTTTTTCTGCCTCCCCCCATCCTTCCCTCCCTCCCTTCCTCCCTCCCTCCTCAGCATCAAGTGCAGCCTGAGCGGAGCGTCCCGGCTGCGACTCTCTCTCTCTCTCTCAGCAGAAGCAATGAGGAGAAGGGAGCCGTCGCCCCGCTGATACCAGGACGTCTGGGATGCTGTAACACCCGTGTGTTGTCTACTGGGATCATATTTGTATATTTCTAGGGAAAACAAACAATACACTGCGGATTTGGGATTTCCATCAATCGGATGCAAGCAGGTAGGAAGCCTTCGTCATTTTTTTTGCTTTAGTTATTGTGATCTCTTGATTGAACCCTGGGGGAAGTGTGCTCTTTATTTGTTTTTTATTAAATTTTCAGTTTATTCCATATGTTTATGTTTTCAGTTTTGTAATAGCTTTCTTTCCGTTTTTCTATCTATATTTTAAGAGATGTTTATGTTATTATTACTGATTTTTGAGTGACATTTTTTCAATCCGTGAATCAGAAATACTTTTATAGACAGTTTGCATAAGTTGATTTCCAATTAATATTGTCCCTGTTCTTTCCAAGTACAGTATGCTATGCTGTAACAGATGTGGAATTACAGATGTGGTTTCTTTAGATTGGATTGGATGTCTAATTTAATGGGAATCATTTATTTTTTTTGACACATTATTGTTAAGAGCTGACACTAAGAACTGTCTTTTCCCGTGCTTGTCACACTGGAAACTCTGTGCCTGAGACGAAGACGTTATGTAAAAATGTACGTCAAAATGAATGAAACAATTTTTTCTTTTAATTAAAGGTGACAATAGAAGGTGATCCATGCTTGTTGAGTTGGAGATGGACACTTGCGCATATAAATAGCGCCATCCTTTGGTCACTCTGTCTCCTGGGTGCCTCTATCTTGTGGGATGGAGAGGGGGCACAGCTTCTTGTTCAGCTGACTGCAGTGGAAAAATTGTTCAAATGAGCGCTTTCTGTGACCAAGAGCCATCATGGCAGCATATCAGTTTCCACTCTATGCTGAATATAATTGCAGGCTCTCTCCTAGAGTTGTGTTATGTCTGAGTCTGGCGGTGGGAGTGTGAAGCTGAACAGAAACGTAGGGTTAGTTTTGTATTCTCATTTATTGAGGCTGTTTTTACAGCTCTTGTGGGCTTGTATTTTATCCCCGTCTGCTTGGGGCTGGTTAGATATTGGCCACTTTGTATGTTATATGAGACTACATGGTAAACTTAAGCCGAATGGTCTCCTTTGCAGTTGGATGACAATGCACTTTCTGGCAAACAAACCTGGAATGAAAAGGGTATTCTTGGTAGTTTCAAGTAAAAAAAGAAAATGGTGCTTTTGGCAGTATCTCTGCAGAGGATGATGATGCATCGATATGGTCCACAGGTGATGCTACATGGAGGCACAGCCTCATTTTCACTCTGCACTTATATCTCATTGATAAGGAATGTGTGGTTGTGGACCCCCTGGACTATGTAAGCTCCAGCTGGATTCCCCAGATGCTTATTCTGTCTGTTACAAACCATCTAACTTCCTTAAAAAAACGAGTGAATTCAATCACTGTGACTTCTGTTTGAAATCAACTATTGGATTTGCACTCCTGCCGCGGTGCTCCTCAATGCACGGCAAGCAAATGATTTCTTCTCCTGTGTGACTTCATCCCCAGACTCCCCTACCCTGTAGTTAAGTGATGGTCTGCTGAATGTATTTAAGCTTTATCAGGGTTATTGGCGGCATCACACACATAAAGTAGGAGCATGAACCAGCAGGCTGTCTGCGGTCCACGCAGCCTTTATGTTTGATGTCATTTGTATGAACGACGAGGAGTGGAGTGGAGCTAAGGAAACCAGATATGGTCATTACTGAAGGAGAAGTTTAACCATTGTGGCAAACCTCCAAGCCGCTGTCTCAGCCCATTCAGGGGTTCAGGGTTCATCCTCTCTTCCTCACTGCCCGCAGCCTCCAGCAAGACTCAGAGGACATTAATCTCCTCTCAACCACACAGCTAATGTGTTATGTGTTTCACGAGAAAACTATTTCTTTGCATACATAATGGCAACGAGTAGGAATGCTCTTTTAAGAAAATCTTGGCAATAATGAGTGTGTTGTGCTGTCACACAACAGATGTCTCTAACATTCTGGGCTACCCTGCCTCCCTGTGGCCATACATGGATCTGTTTATATTTTCTCGACCTGAAGGCCTCAACATCTCAGCTCAGGGGAGTCTGAGTTTTACCACATGTTGCATTTGTGTAAAACTTATTCAAGATTCCAAATAAGAAGAGTTGAACGCCCGACATGTCTAGTACTTAAGCAAGTATCACAGAATCATCAGTGTCACAAGCATAATCAAAATATTTTTCGCGATCATGATGTGAAAACTGTCGCAGATTGTTGAGCTGGCGAGCTGGTAAGGAACACAAGGAAACAGTTCAAATAAGCAACAGGCTGCAGAAGCGGCATCATAATATCAAGGAATTATAACAGGTGGGGCAATGGCATGCTGAACTGTTTGAATGGTGATGTGATTGCTTAGCTTAAATAAGGCTAAGAGTCTGATGATGGCACTAGATGAAATGTCAGATGGTGCCCAAAGGGATTATGAAAGAGGGGCACACGGATGTGTGCACAAATGTGTGCCGTTTAATATCAGTCCATTCAATAGTTGTTGAGACATTTCACTCAAAACTTTAAACCCCATGGAGGCGCTTGAGGAAATTTCCGAGGAACAGCAAAATGATTGGGGTTCATCCTCTGGGAACCATGGATGTTTGTACCAAATGTATTGGCAATCCATTTCGTACACATGGAGATATTTCCTGGATAAAGGATAACCTTGACCTGGTCATGGAGCGAGATGAAAAGTTAGGGATTCACTAAAGTCAGTAAGGTTCATCCTCTGGGCACACTAGGTACCTGTACTAAATGTTATGGCAATCCATCCTGTAGTCGACCAGACATCTCACTTAAAAGAACGTAAGCGTAAACCTCATGTAGGTGCAAGAAGAACATTTAGGTATCACTTGTACATACATGTACAATATTTCATGTAAATCCATCCGATAGTTGTTGAGATATTTCATTCTGGACCAAAGTGGTGGACCGACCGAACATCTGACATTGCCATTCGCAGATCCATGCATAGCTAATACGTTTAAACTTTGAATCTTTGAGTCTTTCCACCTCTATTACAAATTTGTCCCTAAGCCTTCCTCTCTATTCTTTATATTCCAGAGCCAGGCCCAACTTAACAATGGGCCCCATACCCCTGTGTGTGCTGCTCCCGGTCACGGTGCTGGCTGTGGTGGTGGCTGTAGCTGCTGAGGGCAATGCAGTGGACGACGAGTACACCTGGCCACATTGGAAGCTGCCTCTGGTAAGAAAAAGACGCACTGTGCCTCTAAGCAGCCCAAACTTTTCAGCCCATCCTCAGCCGGAGCTGAGCAGGACATGTGGGATCGAATGTCAGCGTCGCCTCCCCGCCACCTCTCTGGACGACCTGGAGCAGTTCCTGTCCTACGAGACGGTTTACGAGAACGGCACACGCACGTATACCTCTGTCTCCGTGCAGGGCCTCAATGAGGTGACTGCCTGGTCCAGGAACATCTCGTCCAGCTCCCGCCACAAGCGTGAGGTGTACGGCACGGATACCCGCTTCACCATCTCAGATAAGCAGTTCTCCACCAAATATCCTTTCTCCACCACCGTGAAGATCTCCACAGGATGCTCCGGGGTTCTCGTGTCACCTAAACATGTGCTGACCGCTGCCCACTGCATCCACGACGGAAAGGATTATCTAGATGGGGTGCAGAAGCTGCGCGTTGGAATTCTGAAGGAGAAGTCCAGACGTGGGAGAGGAGGCAAAGGGAAAGGAGGGCGAGGAAAGGGCAAAAGGAGAAAGGGGGACAAGGATAAAGAGGAAGTGCAAGAAAAGGAAGATAATGGAGAGAAAGGGGACCGTAAAGGAAAAGGGAAAGGTAGAAAGAGCAGGAGTCGGCGAAGTGCGGAATCAGGGAAACCTTCATTTAAGTGGACCGGGGTGAAGAAGACCCAGGTGCCTAAGGGCTGGTTCAAAGGTGTGTCTGACGGACTGACTGCGGATTATGACTATGCTGTTTTGGAGCTGAAGAAAGCGCCAAAGGTCAAGCACATGGATCTGGGCGTTATCCCCTCGGTCAAGAAGCTCCCAGCTGGGAGGATCCACTTCTCTGGCTTCGATGATGACCGCCCTGACAACCTGGTGTACCGGTTCTGCTCTGTCTCTGAGGAGTCCAACGACTTGTTGTACCAGTACTGCGACGCCAAGCCCGGCTCCAGCGGCTCTGGGATCTACATCCGCCTCAAAGAGCCTGGCAAGAAGAAGTGGATGAGAAAGATCATTGGGGTTTTCTCCGGTCACCAGTGGGTGGATGTAAACGGGAACGGGATGCAGCAGGATTACAACGTGGCAGTGAGGATAACACCTCTCAAATATGCCCAGATCTGCAACTGGGTCCACGGGGACTCGAGTGAGTGCCAGGTAGCCTAAGAAAACCACAGGATCCCCCCCCCCCCTTAAACCAGCACCTCTCTCTACACAAGGGACACCCTACCTACTCTCCTCCCCCGACCCCTCACCACCCACCAGGGGCCCCGGCGACTGCCTCTCCTCTTCCTGCCTTCCTTTTACCTCCTGTGCCTCCCAGGGACTCCTGCTACACTGATCTACACACACACACACTCACACACACACACACACACACAAACACACACACACGCACACGCACGCAGCCATACAGACTCAGTGTTGACATCAACAAGAACTCGTCAGCGCATCAAGAGAACTGTGGCTCTTCAGCTTTTCTAATTTATTTGCTTAAAAAAAACAACCAAGAAAAAAATATGTATTGTATGTATTTAAGATCGTTGAGATCTGCCGTTTTGCTTTCTATTTTGGCTCTTTTTTTTTTTTAAAGATTTGACCATTTTGGATACGATGTTGGAAGAGTGTATATTCAAATGTTTGTGAGCAAAGCCCCTGGTACATTCGTCTTAAATTCCAACCAGGCTTTGTATGGAGAGACTTGCATTTTCAAGCTTTTCTCCACCACTGTAAAGATGGCTTTGACAAAAGACCCAGAAGAAATTTATGTAACTTTTGTTTTACAAATTAACTATATAGAGCTATTGGGATAATTGGTTTTATAAACATTTTTAATTGATGGAACTGGTGTTTTGCATTGTGTATATCTAGACATGTTTTTTACAACTACCTTTTAATTAAGAAAAGACTGTTTTCTGTCTGAAAAGAGAAAGGGTCCTCATGAATCCTCATGAGTCACGCCATCTTTTCTCTGTTCTTGCAACGCAGTGAAATGTGGTTTCATTGTCGTGCACATAATTATATCGGTGCTTATCCAGAAGACGTGGTGCTAATTTATGGAATTGTAAACTTTTTTTGGGGGGGTGGGGGGGACGGGGAGACTTCTCAGAATATATTTTGATGGCCCAGTACTGTAACGATGTATTTCATGTGAGGCGACATATTGGGGTAGTGTTAAGATGGGGACTGAACCATTTAATGATTTACTTGAGCTGTTGAGATTTCTCTAATTCTAAGGGTTAAATGAGATTACAGAGGCAATATTGTTATAAAATAACAAATCTAAATCTGGCATGTGATATTTACCTTTCAAGTTGATGTTTATGTTCCAAAAATTCATGCGAGTATCCTTTTGAATACTAAATACCTGAAATCAATGCTGCCGATTGGAGACTACAACAATTAAACCAAGATTACTACTTGTGTGTGTGTGTGTTTGTGATGATCCTGATTACAAAGGACCATGTCTACTATTATACACTGGTCTGTGGACAACAATTGTTGTGAGACCACTACCAATAACAGTAACTGTACCATTTAATTAAGTGTTCAACTCACAAAAACGTACTTACACAACAACAACTAATGCATGTTGAGTCAAACCATTGAACTGCATGGCTTCATTATTTTGCTGGGGGGCAAAATGTATCGTTGGGCCCCTTTCGACGCATCTGATGTCTGGCCTGCTCCGCATTGTGTATGTACCCTGTTGCCCCAATTTTCCCATTGAAGCTTCACTCATCTATATTTTCTATATGTTTAATGTGAAAGATGTCATCTACTAGCAATGAACTCTTTGGCTTATTGCTCTGATGAACCCACCGTGAGCTATCTGTCCAGTACCAAATTGCAGGCAGATAAAGTTGGCAGCTAGCTGGTGCACGTGGTGGAGCATTTAGCAGCTAAAAAGAGACACTTCTCTCAGGTGATGAAGACCAAATAAAGAGCGAAGGAGAGTGAATATTGGATGTAGTCAGCTGGACAGAAAGTGTAAATAAACATCTGCTTGCTAGCAAGTTAGCCACATCAACTTTCTAAGGTGATAATATGTAAATTTTGTCAAATTGGTCAAAGATCTATGCTTAGTACAGTCCACACAGCAGAGTATACATGGCAGCTTCCTAATACACCCTGATCCCCAGAAACAAACACGTGCTGGTTTTCTTTGGTAATTGTTATATAAACAACTGTATATAGGGAATGTGGATTTTGAATCTGGATTTTGACACAAGGCCCTTCTATGGGTAGAAATGCAGGATCTGCATTAGTCTGTATTTTAATTCAGTGGTGTAAATTCCAAAATTCTGAATTAATGAAGTGTCCAAAAACCAAATTACAAGCAATGCACCTGGAGGGATTTTTGGGCCCCTGAGGGTCTTTACCAAGCTGGTAATCTGGCCTTGGTCATGAACGTACTATTGATGTGTTGGGATTTAACTTTTTGAAATACAGCTTCAAAATGACCTAAAATCTTTGTGGAAGAAAAGAAGTCCTCATCATGGGCTGTTCAATCCGTCATTGAATTTATTGCACCTCAAAGGACTTACATGCACTGGGGCGGGCCATCGTAAATAAAATAAATTTACAACAAAACAAAAATACAATTTCATGAAAAATGTTAATAATCTCCCATCGTTGTCTCTGAATCATATCAGATTCTCAAGACCAATTGCTCATTCAGTCCACTGAATAGACGACACGCCGAGTAGGCTTTACGTTAGTCTGGTTTACAGCACAGGACCGGGGTGTTACACAGCAGCTGTCCACATGCATATCAACACATCGATTTCATTGTTAGTCTGCGGGGACCAGAGGAGCTTTGTGTTGTGATGCTTTTGGGGACACGATCATGTCTAGACGGACAGCGGCATCCTCCTGTGGCCACTGACAATATGTACTGCTCAACTGCCAACGGGCCAAAAGGTCAGCAAAGATCAAATGAACAACTTGAACAAAAAGTATGTTCAGACAGAAATCAAATATATTGCATTTTCAGGTGAATTGCAATATTGTCAAAGCAGCAGTGCAGGCATACGCGCTGTCACTTGGCCCGTCACGTCCCACAGCAATGGTTGCAATTGGTTAGTACAGTATCATGGAACTTAAAGGTACCCTGTGGAGTTCAGTCCTTAGGCCCCCTTTTGTGTGTAAACAATGTAGCTTTCAAAGTTTTCAAAAAATTGGCTTTTCAAATGTTTCATGAGGAAGTAAATTCATTCATCACATTTGTTAGGCCTCAATGACGCACCCAAAAGCTTATTTGGTGAGGAACAGTGAGTGTAAACAGAACTTTGTTTGTTTAGCAAAAGCTTGACCTGACTGCTACTAAAGTCCTTTCTACTGGATGTCGGTTTGAAATCTTTTCATTTGATCTGTCTGAACATAGAGTTTAGTATGGCAATGGAATAATCTTCTACTCTAAATACAAAAGGGAATCATACTGACCTGGTCGTAGTTATAATGAAAGCACAGGCAACACACATATCCACATGGGTAGAGTCACAACCGCAGGTAGAAACATGTACAGTTATACTGAGGGACAGTCTGAGTTTACCTCTCTGACGAATAACTAAAGCATTTTCTCTGGGAGTTAGTTGTAAGATATGTTCTTTAATAGCGATGCCAGCAAATATATCGACAGCAGTTTGAGGATGATTATTCTAACAGAAACAGAACATGTAAATGTAACACGCGACAAATAAAGAAACATACAAAAATAAGCCACAAGTAAAAAAAAAAAAGAACAAATTTGAAAGGGTCACTTGCTGGTCTGGTATGATTCAGACGCCCAAGGTGTTTCTTAATATACAGTAATTATGTAGCGGTAGACATATTTGTTTCCGAATACTTTCAAAAGATGACGGGAAATAGAAGGATACTCACACGACTTCTTACAATTTCATGTCAGATTCACATTTATATTTCTCTTCAACAGACATACAGAATAGAGAAGTAGTCCTCGCCAGAGAAATCTATGTACATCAACGAGGACCTTTCTGTAAACAACACACAACAGGTTTCTCCAAAGAAATCTACCGGGGCTTTGTTCACCACTCTTATCCAATCAGAGTGGGACAAAGAAGAGCTCCTCCCCCTTTATAAGGAGGCGGGGGGGACACATATGGGGTGGTGGGTGGGGCTTAGGACACCAAAGCACATCCATCGTTCAACTCAACACTGGAAATAAACCTAAACACACACGCCTTCACTTTCGTTCACTTACTTTTGTGGACTTTTTTTTTGTCTGGGTTTTAAGTGATTTTCTTTAGACAAAAGATTAGAACATCTACATAAGCACACACTTGCATTTTTTTTCTCATATATATATATATATATATGTATATATATATATGTAATCCGCTATGGTTCACTTTCACAGTTTGTGCTACGACATCACACAGGAGAAGGGTGGGGTGTTGATGGGCGGGGTGGAGATAAGAGGCTCTTATAGTCGCTGAACATCCTGAGATGTTGACAGACACCAGGTAAAAGGTGAGAGAGCCCTGCTCCAGAGAAGAAAGCAGCTGGAAGACAGGAAATAGAGGACATTTCAACATAAGAGTCAGACACATTTTAAATAAAGCAAAGCTGACAGACACATGATGGTGTGTTTGTATGGTGTGTATTTAGATTTCTTTTAAAAGGAGTTCAAGCACTCCAAGCACACTGAAAACGGCCCTTAAAAGTCCAGTGTGTAGGATCTGGCGGCATCTAGCGGTGAGGTTGCAGACTGCAACCAACAGAAACTTTTCTTGTGTGCCAACTGCAATGGCCGACGTAAAAAAAGCCAATGTCCCTTTCTAGAGCCAGTGCTTGGTTTGTCCGTTCTGGGCTACTGTAGAAACATGGCGGCCGGCTACGTGAAGAGGACCCACTCTATATGTAGATAAAAAACGGCTCATTCTAACGTAACGAAAACACGACTCTTAGTCTAAGAGAACATACTTAATAATATCATATTCCATTTTTGCCAACAGAATGCTTCACAATGTACCGTTAATTAGTGCTGATTAGTAGCCAATGATCCATTGAAATATAAATAGTTCTGAGACTGTTCACTTCAAATATTCCACTTAAATGCAAAGTGTGTAAAAAGGTGCAATTCTTTAGTATGTCATTTCTCAAGTCTCTATCTCTGTTATTTAAACATTGTAGTGGCAAAGCCATTTGAACCTTCTGTCCACCAACTCTACATATCAACCACAACACAGTTAAAGTCCTCCGTAAGTTGTGGCATACTGTACTACAATTTACTATACTGCATGTACTGGTCCGAGCTCCCACCTGGGGCGTTATAAGAAGTCTTTGAGGTCGAGATCTGCCAAAGGGTCCTTTGGCTTCTTGGGGCTCTTGCTTGGAGGAATCTGAGAAAAATAAGAACAGAAAATTGCAGCATCTTTTTACGATAAAATGAATCTTCCTGAAATGAAGTATAAATTGATTGATTATTCACTGCAGGGTTTTACTATGGGTGGTTTGTTACCGGTGCTCCTGGTGCAGCGGCTCCAGGTGCAGCTCCAGCCACCCCAGTGAAGGGAGGTCTCATCATGGGCTGTCCCATCATAGGCTGCCCCATCATGGGCTGCATCATAGGAGCTCCAGGCCCACCTACAGGAGGCTGGTAACACAGGAATAACACAGTAGACGTTTAAGGGCTTTGCAGATTTATCATCATCTGCCATCATAATGATATGGCTCGTAAATATTTGTAAACTGCAACGGTTAATCCTAATGATTAAAAGCTGAAAAAGATTCACGGTTAAATTCTGGAGAACTTTCTCTGCATGAACTGAAGCTCACCATCCCAAAGCCAGGCTGTGCGCTCATTGGCGGCACCATGGCTGCTACTGGGGCCCCAGGAGCTCCAGGGGCGGAACCAGCCTAGAGAGACACGGAGAAGAGCCAATGTGAATTCCAAAGGATGCAATAGTGAAAGAACTTTTCTTTTGCCATCTTTATCTTTGTTGTTTGTGATGTCTAGAGAAATAAATGGTCTGCATTATTATAGCTCCTTTTCTACCTAACAAAGCAATTTCAAATGTGCCTCTCATTCACCCATTCATACAGCGATGGAGGCGGAGCTACCATGCAAGGTCCTGGCCTGGATGAAGTGTGCAGGGGGCGCGGTGTCGATGCTGTTCTTACCATGGGGGCTCCTGGTGTAGCCCAGCTCGTGGGAGCTACATGTGGCATCCAGTTGGCCCCTCCTGTCAGCTTCTTCTCACTCTGTGGGTCCCTTGTGAGAATCAAACACAGTATACACCTCAGGCTCTACTGTGCTGTTCGTCGGTCTGCGACTGCAGAAAATCCGTTAGATGAGACTTCAATTTGTTCTCCAAAGAAATCCTAACAAAATCAAACTACTGCAGTCACATTCATCACATAGTATTCCCTCTTATAGTATCTAGATAGCTGTGGAAAACCTATAATAATATGGTGGCTATGATTCAACAAAATCAAACTAAAGTAATGAGCACAAAACAACCCTGCAAACAAAAAGTAAACAGCTCATATGATAAAATATGTAAAAAAAAAGGCATGATATTCTTCTTTTTTGACCTAGTTTAAAACTTCCTTAAAGCCTTGAGCGTGTTGCTCCCTCAATTTAGTTTTTTTCAAACATTGCAGCTCTGCAGGAGCTATGCATTCATGTCACAGCCTCAACAAACACCATGCATTCATAGAAGTTACATCTTTAAACACACACTTACTTTTTCTTTACTCCAAGGTCTGGACAGAAGAAAGAAAGAAGAACAAGTTAAATTTCTATCTAATTAGGAAACAGAAATGAATGAACTCCAGACAAACAAAGCTGCAGTCTACCTCCAATCAGGTTGGCCAGTGACGAGTCCAGGTCTCCTCCGACGGTTTTCGTTGGAGGAGCAGCTGCAATCCCTCCCGCTGCGACAGGAGTTCCCATGCTTCCTGCTGTACTTCCAGCAGTGCTGCCGCCGGTGCTCTGGGGTGTTATGCAGGGCATCAGCAAGTCGCCTAATCCACCAAACACTTGGGGGGAGGGTGGGAATGACGGGACATCAGAGAAACAACACCGATTACAAATCTGCAAATCCCTAATCTAGTTATAATACGGGCAGAGGGCAGATGTGAGACCAGTCAGTACAGTGAAGGGGACAATCCAGCTGTGACAGCATCAGTAGTCAGCTGTTCACCGCATGCACAATGCAGGACTGCACTGTAAATATATTTGAGCATTCAAAAGGGGACGTAATTACAGCAACTGCACTCACTTGGTCAGTTGCACAGCCAGTTTACATAGTCACATCTCAGGGACTTAAACTGGCTGATTTTGGAATAAAGCACTGGTTTTGAACCAGGTGTCATCAAGACCACAGAGTTCACAGGTTTCCATTCCAAATAACCTCGACAGAAGCATTGTGTTGTTGAAAGTTGGTCAAGGGTGCATTCACTAAGGCAGTGGCCCTCAACCTTGTCTGACACACCCCCAAAGCCCATACAGATAACCCTTTATCACCACCTGTCATGTTCCAAATACGTTTGAACTGGATGTTATTGAACACAATGAATTATAGCAATGATGTCTACATACAGTTAATTAGGTCTGTTTGGTCAAGTTTGTATTTTAACTCCCACTACTGGGATTGGCAGAAGCAGGACATTTCAACCATTTCTGATTTGTATCGATACCCTTTTAGCTAACTATTTACACCGTTTAATACTTTAAGCTAACTATTTACACCGTTTAATACTTTAAGCGAACTATTTCACCATTAATCCATCACATATTGCTAACTATTTAAACGTTGATGTTAGCAAACTACTTTAAGCTACAATTTCAACTGTTCATCAAGAACTTTTAGCTAGCTCTATTTCAAATGTTTATTCATTACGTCTAGCTAACTATTTCAACTACTTGTCATTACTTTTAGCTAACTATTTATTAGGCTTCACACAGGGCCTAATTAACAAGCTTCCACCACTGAAAGTTCTTACAAATCTTCGGACAGTGTAGCAGAACTATCAGCCTCTAACCACAAAGGTTTCATGTTCTATAAACACATTAAAAGTACATCTTTTATGTTTCTGACCTCTGAAGTAACCAAGGAACAAGGCTTTTCCCTACAATGTGAGGCTGTTTGATGGGCCACTTGTAAAAATATGAAATATATAAAAACCTGCAGACTCTACTGCAGACTTGGGCATTGATGGCATGTGGTTACTATAAAAGCCACTGCTCTACAAGACAGGGGCAAGAAAACAACAATACAGTCGGTCTTGTCTCATGCAGGAGACAATCGGGGGTCTTACTGCAACATGCAAAGATGCAGAAGGGAAGACATGTCCAAACTGCACATGCTGCAACGCACTGCCGGGTGGAACTCACCAGTTACAGATTAGAAGAAGCAAGCAATGACCCAGCAGAGTGGAAGGGGTGCGGATAGTGGTGAAGTAGGAAATTGAATGAAGCAGAAGATAAAAGGTGTGTAGCAGAAACAACAAATAAGATAGAAAGAAAGAAAGATTGCAGAGAGGTAGTGGGGCGAGCAGGAGGTGGAGAAAGCACAGCATTTGTGAAAGTGTGAGAAGTACAAGAGAAGAGATTGAGAGACAAAAAAGAAAAATCATTGCGAGAAAGGCAACAGCGCTGAGGAGTTAAGCAGTCTGCAGAAACAACCGTTGGACGTATGTGGAGGACAGTGACAGCAGCACATCAGTGTGTCATTCATGCAGTAGTCAGGCTCTCAGCAGAAGGAGTTAACTAGGTCATGGTTAAGGTAGCTCAGTTTGAATGAGCCAGAGCAGATTAATGTGCATCAAGCAGGTGACCTGTGCAAATATGAACAAAAAACTCATTGAGATTCTCTAACATTTCAGAAGGCATGACAATGAGACAAATTATCAAAATGAAAACAGAAAAAAAACATCATAATCCACTTACTCGAAGCATCAAAGCCACCAGAGGGCGCCGGTGTGGTGGTGGCGGGATCTTGTGCAGCTGGTACTATTGGTACCACAGCAGGTACAGGCGGCGCTGGAGAGGCGAGGGAGCCCAGAGCATCAAAGCCCGACTCCAGGAGGTCGTTCTGCATGGGAGCCAAGGCTGGAGCCAGAGCTGGGGCAGTAGTGGGAGCCAGGGTGGGGGACATCAGGCCTGAGGGGGGTAACACGACAGGACTGTGATATATAGCACTGTTTTCTGACTCACCCTAATTCCACGAGGAGCACATATTAAATATGATTACTGACACAACAGATGGCAAACGAGACGTCTCAGGAAGCAAAATTAACTTTTGGTTGTCTCCGTGGGCAAAGCCGGTCAGTGCAGCAGCAAATAGTATCAGCACACGAATATAAGACAGCACATTACTAAAACAGTTACAACACCAGATCTTATCAAGAACAATAAGTGGAGTACATGATATGCATTACAGTATTAGAGCAGGACACCAAAAGAAAATAGATACAAAATCTGCATGATTTGCCAAACGTTCAATGGAATATTCATTAGCAGAGATACAAAATAATGAAACTAATCAAGACAACTTTGATATATAACAAAATAGTTTTTTCGTCTTTCCCACCTCATTAACCATTTCATGTGTCAGATTTATTTTGTGACCCTATATAAAGCTCCACCGCGACCAGCTGCAACAATAATACACTACTTATGCATCAATGCATCTGTTTTAACAATAATGTCACATATATTGATATATCAGTCACAGAGGAAGAAGTACTGCTAATTTTGATATTTACATTTTTCTGATAATACTGTACCATAACTTCAGTAGGATTTTGAATGCAGGACCAGATACGGTACTGAATTGGCAAAACATGCATTGTTTTTTTAAACAATACATAAACGGCCCAATATAAGTATACAAAGGGTGTGTACACATTACACACATTAGCTTACTGTATTTATAATACATTCAGATTGTAATGTAAAGTACAACTGCAAGGTGATACTGGAGCTTCATAGATTGACTCATCCTGACTAACACGTTAGGTGCACAGGAGGTCCTACAATCACATTTTGCATACTAAGTATATTTCATAAATGCTACTATGCAAATAGGATATCTGTCTTAAATGCATGCTGTGCTGTGTGTGTTGAAAACGTCATATCTTTTAACCCACAAAGATGAAAACAAAAAGACATGTTTGTGACAATCTCATTCATGAACTTCAGCCTTTCTAATTCAACCATAATTTCCCTAAAAATGTCAGAGGAGACCCACCTCCCAGCAGATCGTCTCCAGGCCCTCCAGGAGCAGAGCTGTGCGTCTCCTCCACAGGACTGCCGAAGGAGTCTGCAGGGCCGTCCAGTTATCCACAATGCAGCATGCAGGGCAGAAAGGGGTGAGAGAGGTCAGCCCTGGACCACACACTGGGACACAATGAGGGGGTAGGAGACAAGATGGTCTGCATAACGCAAAACTATGACTGAAAGAGAAATAAAAAGGGAACAAAGACGTCAAATGAAATTAAGAAAAAAGAAAGCTTAGTGTGGTTAGAGATAGATTTCCGGGCATGATGGGACCTTTTCTATCATGTTGATGTCATAGATGCACGTAAGGCACAGCTGGTGCTGAGGAGAGTCTCTCTCTTATTGTTGTTATCATTACTGTGGCTTTACACCCCACCCTCCTGTTCCATCCCCTACAACATCTTTTGTTTTAATTAATGAGAGCAGCACAAGTTTTCCAGGCGGTGTCCTATAATATTTCCTATAATAATGGTTTAGCAAGAAAATCAAAAAGATATAATCTGAATTCTTTTAACATATTATAGAGCAACAGGTGCACCAGAAGAAAATCATCCCAATCTATTCCTGAATTATGCCCAATATACAGATGCCTTTCCAAAATTTTCTTCAGGGTATCTGTAACAAATTTCACCACGATCCCACGATGATATTTCACCAAAAAAAGAAAGATGCCAACCTCATGGTGGATTCAAGGACTCATCCCCTGGGAACCATGAATATCTGTACAAAGTATGTGCCAATCAATCCAGTAGGTGTTGAGATATTCTGCGAGTGGACCGACCGACTGACTGACAGACATGCCGATGTTAACGTACCTATAGTGCCATATCACCCTAAAATCCGCAAAAATACACTTCTAAATCACCTAAACAGAGGCACACACAAACACACAGTCCAATAATTATTGTGGGAATGTAACTGGTGGTCTACTGCCGAGTACTGCAATATAATCCACTGAATAGTCTAAAATGGTGAAATTAGTTTAACACCTAGAGCCTATCACCACATCTGGACACTACCAGCCTCACTGGTACAAACATTCACTCAAGAACTTACTGTAACAACTGAGAAATAAATTTAAAAAATACCCAGAAGAGAAAAGTAAAATTATAAAATGCACAAACAGTGAAACAATTAGCATGTTGCTGTAAAGAGATGTGTGTATGTGTGTTTGGAGGTACAGTACCCAGCAGGTCAATGACAGGTGCTGGCTCTGCTTTGGGAGGAGAGGAGTCCTCTGGGGTGGAGGCTGCACTAAGAGCAGCGGCGGGAGCAGCGACAGGAGCGTCGCTGGCAGCAGCTGGAGAGTCAAATGAGTCTGAACGGAGAGACGGGCAGAGACAGAAGCAGTAAAGGATTAAATTACTCTCAAGTCTATGTGACTACTTTGATCAGTGACAGCTTTATTTCTAAGGCTTTTCCTTTGCTCGTGAACTTTTATGGCTATTCTAAAAGGCTTGCAGACATGCAGAGACGAGGCAGGCATCCCTGCATCTCAACTGTGTATCCACAACCTCGAAGCGTGCACCGTTTCGGTACAGGACTGGTGTGCATGTGCATGTGCATGCGGACACCAGCACCATGCACAAAAAACAAACAAAAAAAACCCGTCATGATAAGTTGAGGCTGGCTGCACACTTCGTGAAAGAAGGAAGGGAAAACAGTGATGCAGTAAAGATAAAGCAGCTTAACTCACCGGTCACAATGTCTCCAGCCGGAGTCGGCTCGGGCAAAGGAGAAGGCCCGCGTGAAACAGCAGGGAGGTCTAAGTGACCAGCGCAAGCGTGAGGCAGAATACGAGAAAGAAGGAAACCACGGAGGTTTGGGAGCAAAGAAAAGTGTTAGCGTGGCAGGTAGAAAGACAGCGTAGATAGAAAGCAGCCACAAGGACAATCCAAGACTTGACGAGTGGGTTACATGCACAGTTCTCATACCACTATGGGGGACAAACCAAGACGTGTGGGGAGGGGGGGGGAAACAGTCGACAGAGGAGTGGACGTATGGAAACCAGAAGAGATGAAGAGGTTCCACACACAGAGAAATGGATATCGACTCCTGTACCTGCACCAAAAAGGTCTACGCTAGGAGTGGTAGCGGCTTTGGATTCTGTGGTAGGGCTTTGCTCAGGCATAGAATCAAACATATCTAAGAACAAGGACACACAATCATATGTACATTCAGATTTCAAGTCCAGTGCATACAGAATGATGAGTTAAGAAGAGAGAGATGAGGGAAAGCAGAGAGAGCAGCAGATAGTTTGATTATTAAACGGGGTAAGTTGCTGTGTATCTATTCAGTGCAATGCAAAATGAAACAGTGCAAAAGTTAAAAGGGTATATTGCTCGATTTCAGCATGAAGATTTCCCCGTTTGCTTCTGTGAATTTTGATCTGAGAGAGCTCTTATTTTCCCAATCTCCAACATAGTTAACAAGGCTAAAAGTCTACAGCCATGCTAGTGGCTCCATGAGGCTGTAGGGACAGCGGGGATTTGACTAAATGTTAACGTTAGCATTCTAACATGCTCACTGAGTTAAAATGCTAATGTTTAGCAAGTCATATTTATCAGGTTCATTTCATGAGTTTAGCCTGTTAGCATGCTAATATTAGCAAATTAGCACCAAACACAAAGTAGAGGTGAGGCCAAAAACCACAGTTTGGACGAATTCAAATTTGACCTGATCTGGCTGGAAATGCATATAAATATGTCCGTCCATCATCTATGCACACTTATTCTGTGCAAGGTCACAGGGGGCTGGATCCCATCCTACCTCACGCTGGGCATATATGGATTCTGACATTGAGCAATATTCCCTTTTAACTAAAGTGCATAAGCTACAATAAAGCATTCTCAGCAGTTAATATCTAAAACATTGGTCACAAGCAGGAGAAGAAAACTATTCTCTCTCCTAGATTTGGTCTGTTTGTTAGTTTTTGGTTAATCATCAAAACAAGTTGAGCAACCTCCATTTTGTCCCTAGAGGCCAAATTAAAACTGAGATTTTGGTCCAAAACAATAAATAACTAATGGATAACTGCATACACATTTGATTTTATTGTGTATTTTTTCAACATAATTATTTAGCAGAGGAGGTCAAGATGCTTGATTAACTTGATAAAAAGATCCGTATCTCAAGGAAAGGCATTATGGAAAATAAAAAACAAACATCTGAAATGTAGGGACTGGACAGGATCATTGCCACTACTGTCATCATCATCACTAGCAAGAGCAACACAGTCATCATCATTATCAAAACCTACATCATCATCACCATCATTATCATCGTCATAATGTAGGGGAAAGCAGTGAGAGGCATAATGAGAGCGAGAGGACTTTACCACCAAAGATATCTAAAGTCGGAGCGGCTGCAGACTCTGTGGTGGTGGTGTCGGTGGTAGTGGTGGTGGTGGTGGAAGAAGGGGTGGGGGCAGCGGGGGCAGCGATAGGGGCGACGATGGTCGGCGTCTCAATAGAGGTGGGAGGGGTGATGCTGGTGGCATCTGTGTCGGTGGGCATCATGGCGAACAGGTCCAGCTCTTGAGCAATGACCCCACTCCCCTCCGTCGTAGCGAAGGGGTCTTCAGGAAGAGCAGCAGGGGGGTGGTGTTGATTGATGGGTTAGGGGGGGGGGGGTTATGATTAGATAAGAAGGGGAGGGGATGGTGAGTGGATGAGGAAGAGGAAGGGGGGGGATTGAGGGTTTGTTAAAGCAACAAACACTGCAAAAAGCATATTTGTGAGGCGAGACGCTCCAAACCAGGGTTAGATATACAAAGAAAGTAAACCAAGCACACGGACACTCATTGACTTCAGAATGGCATCCAACAGCTGACAGTGGTGAGCGTCTCCTCCGGAACTAATATCTGACTACAGATGGTAGTGTAGAACAACTTTTGGTTGACTGGCCCATTGGCCGATTTGTTTTTTAACTTATGACAACACCCAAATATTCCATGTGTCCTGGGTAGATTGTTGGCATACTTTTAAGAGTAGAGATCTTGCACCTAATAAGAGTGATTAAAGAAACTGCTTTCTACTTGGTTCAACTAGCCAGAGACCGTGACCTGTGGTGATGCGTCTTTCTCTTTGAGAATATTAAAGCACTTCTTGTGCTATTAAAAATAGCTAAATCCAGTGTTAGCCAGTTTGCCTTCACCAAGGCAACAATTAGAATCATGTTGACAGTACTAAAAAACTGTTTACATAGTAGCCATTTATAGTTACTTGACTACTTTTTTTACCAAAAGGTTTGACTGTGTACTAAAGCTGAATAACAGAAAGCAAGACTGTGAGGCTTTACAGGCAGATTTGTGCTTCAAGCTAACTGCTAAATTCAGCATGCAGACATCACAATTACTATGCTAACATGCTGATGTTCATCGTCTCAGTTTAGACTGTTAGCATGCTAACATTAGCTAATAATCACAAAAAGCAAAGTACAGCTGATGGGAATGTCATTAGGTTTGAAGGTATTTGATCCCGAAACAAACTATTGGTCAAATTCAAATTTTGAGCATTTTGAGGGGCAACATGAAAAGCCAGGAACTCACCAAAGTCAGTAGGATTCATCCTCTGGTGACCATGCATGTCTGTAAAAATGTGTTTGCCAGAGATTTCATGAAGCACCGCAGATGTAGGGAACACATGGTTCACTTAAGAGCCTATGTGTATCCTCTCATCACTGAAAAGGTTAGTTGACCAATAGGAAAAGTTTTCCTGGTAAGTGCTTTCTACACCGATTAATACTGGAGGTAAAGTTTGGGAGCAGAATAAAGTAAATGGCGAGGCATGTTAAATAAACTACAACTGTTTATATTACTGCTGTGGTTAGTATGCTATGCACGAACTAGATGTACCGCAAGGGAGTGCATTTCATTAATTAAAAAAAGCAATTTAGTAGAAAACATTGCATGGACATTACATGGATTGCTCTGTTCATTGTCCTGCTACGTATATACTGTATATAAGGCCAAAGAGAGAAACTAAATAGAGCTATGAAAAAGAAATAGAAAAAGAAAAAAGGCTTGACAATGATTAATATAATCATCATTATTATTATCAGTATCAGGGTTAGGGTATCAAAACAAATGGTATTCATTCCTGGACTACCGTACAGTTAATTGCTGCACTGTGCTTTTTACTGCAGTATTCAGTGGTTGAATATTAGGAGGAGAAGAGTATTTGAGATGAGGGAGGAGAGGGTTTATGACTGGGGCATTAAAGCAGGATTTGGGGTGAGGCAGTAGGCGCTGAGGACACATGTTCGTTCTACTGTCTATATGGAAGCAGAAGCAGCTTTGATATAATAAAAGCAACAGCTTTCACATTCACACACACACACACACACACCCATACACTCACACACTTGCACAAGAAGCCGTTTTGTCACCCACCAGATCCACCAAATGCATCGGCGACGGGGCCCGCGGCCACGGCGGCAGGACCGTCTCCTGGGGAAGGTGCAAAGGCATCTAGGGTATTGCAGACGAAAACAGCCGGAACGCAAAACATAACACCCAACAGACACATGGATGTAAAGAACGAAAGATGAGTAAACAGATGGAATGAACAGGAAAACAGAAATGAGAGGTCAGCATCAGGAAAAAGTAGAGAATACAAGAAATATGCAGCCCAGGTTACTGCAGCGGAAGATCTGATTGGAGCATCAGTCGCGTGTTGAGTTTTGAAGGGCTGCATAATGCTGCATTCAGTGAGTGCACCTCATGTGCGGGTTTTGTGAAATGAGGCAAGTTGTCACAAGTTACTTGTACTCTGTGACAAGAGGGAAAATGTCAAGTTCAGGGATGGACGAGGCAAAGTCTTTCTTTGACAAAGAAACTCAATCGTGTCTTTTCAGCAGATACTTTTCGAATGCTCGGGTTGAGGTTAATATTATGAAGCCAGAATATAATTAAATAAAATCCAGCGACTCATCTTCTTGACATATTTATGAAACTGTTAGTAGGCTATTAGGGGAGAATCATTAAGGGTGATGAATAAAAAAAAAGGCAAAAACGCTACAAATCCCCAAAATACAATGTCATAATAGCAGATTAATTACAGTATAGTGGGTTTATTGAGCCGCACGAGATTATGACAAAACACTCCGGTGAATGTTTGTAACTTGTTAATGTCAAAACTCATTAGCGTTTTTTTTTTTGTTGCAACTGCGCAGCCTTGATTAAACCCAGAGAAAAGCAAGTAATCCACAATACTGGCTCATATTTTTGGGATGTGCCACAAATGGTACACAGTTTGGCTCTGTGCTCAATGCCGTGCTTGACGGTATGTCAGCAGGTTAGTGTACATGGTTGCAACAAAGCATGATGTCGTTAGAAAACGGTGAGGATAGAAAACCATTGTATTTGAGTCACAGCTGAAAAACACATACCCGGCAATCTTTGAATAGCTCAGAAGGTCATTCAAAAAAGCTTATTGCTGTTCTGAAGATATTTCCAGAGTCCTTGAAGACTTTAGTAACTAAATTAAAAAATATTACACTGCCTAATAAAAATATCTTTTGTGTGTTTTGATAAAAGAGCAAGGAGATATGTCATGTACTGAATGACTACATAGAAATATATTCGCAACTTGAGAAACGCATTAAAAACTCTTTTTCATCGTGCAGCAGACAAAGTCTTTAAAGTTTCTGGAAATTCTGTTAAACAACAGTATGTGTTCTCAAACAACAATCTGATTTATCCAAAGACTGTAATAATCTTTTTTTGAAAATCAGATGTTCAGCTCTGTGGCTCAAATATAATGGTAATACATAAGGGGGCACACTGGGGAATATGGTGCCATCTACTTACTAAAATGTCATAATGTATATTTACATACATATTTCTAGCAGGATACTTATGCTGCATCAAAGATACCACATAGCACACATCCCATAAATGTGTAATCTGATGGGAGAAAAGCCTGTAGACTTGTTGTGGTCTTATAATGTAGCAAGATATCAGTGGTTACAATGCAAAGTTTAGGGATTGATAATCTAACCCTAATCCTTTAAGTACCAACTTCATACAAAAGTAAGATAATCTGTAAATAATAATATGTGTTGTAGACAAGCAGGCAGGCTGCCATGCTGAGTATCCTGGTCTACATTCTGTCTTGGACCAGACTGACCTCCGAAAAGGTCCATGTCAGCAGCTGAGGCGGGAGCGGAGACGGGCAGCGAGGCGGGCGCCGGTGCGGCTGCAGCGGCAATGGTAGCGGTGGCGGCTCTGGGCGCGGGAGGTGCAGGGGCAAGAGCCACTACATCGGCAGCATCAGACTCTCCCTCCGCTAGGAGAGCTTCAGAGGCTTCATCAGTGGCAGGCGGTGCTGCTATGTAGATAAACCCCGTAATCCGAACGTCACGACCCAGTCACAAACCCCGAAAGAGAGAAAGAGGAGGGGAAAAAAGGAGATAGGGAGGAAGACGGCAGTGTGAAAAATGAAAAAATAGAAAATAGTGCAAATAGCTTGACGCAAAGACATGGAGAACGTCAGGTAGAAAGTCAGGTTAAAAGCCTGCAGGAGTTTCTCCTGTACAGTCTCTAGCAGAGTGCTAACAGAGTACTCACCCTCAGCCAAGAGATCTACACAACAGACAGACAGACAGACAGACAGAGAGAGAGAGAGAGAGAGAGAGAGACAGGTGAAAGAGAATGAATGATTTTAAACTATAGAAATGCCCTGATGAAATTTAGACATATTTAATTTGCTGCCAACATTATAGAGAACAAGTCAGAGAAAAAAAGCAGACATGGGCCGATGTTTAAGCCCAATAAAGCTAAAAGCGCCTTAATTTACTTTAGAGTACAGTTGGACTGTGGCCATCTTCAGGCTACCAGTGGAGATGTGGGGCTAAACAGAGAACATGCCAAAGAGCAACAGCGGCTTTATAATGGAAAATGCTCTGCTATTCAAACCACACTGTCCAATAAAAGGCATCAGCGAGGGTACCACTTCTTTACTCTACTTTACGGAGTCATTTCAAAAGACCACAGTTAGATTATTTCAGCTCATTTACTACAAGTTCAACTTTATACAAGTGCCAACCATTTTCCAAAGCAAACCATTACGTTTTTTGATTTGATCTTCTTCCAGACTCTTCTCAGTAGCAATGGGTTTCCATTAATTTGGCTGTGATATAAAAATCGCTCTGCAGGGACGTCAACTCAGGGAAACTTTGGAAAATGGTCCTAACGTCAAGTAAAAAGGTTTGTAGTTAACGGAATGAAACATTTGATGGAGTTTAAGTCTATCAAATATGCCATGTCATCTATTGATATGTTCTTTTGTAAATACATTCAACTTTAGGCCACTCAATATCTATTTTCGGCCCCAGAAAATTGCTGAACTGCAGAAAAAGAAGCTGCAATCATTAGCATGTCCTGCGAACTAGCTTAATACAGCGTTTCTTCTGAATCCAAGCATGTCATTATCCTAATACATTGTTATGTAGAGTAACAGGTTACATTTGATAAAATAAACCCTGTTTACATCCAACACATCCACTGTGTTGTAACATTATTTCCCCACTAAGTGTTAACTGGTCTTGGATGCTAAAAGCATTTTCTCTTGTGACGTTTAAATTGAAAACATACCATTCGAAAATACAAACAAGTATGGAAAAGTATCATCAAAAAGTCAGCTGGAGACGTAAACCAACTCATTGAGTTAACGTTAGCTCAGTCAGCTAGCTACAGCTGACAAAATAAGCTAGCAGCAGCTTTTAAAAATTGGACGGTTGAAGAATTTCAAGGGTTAAATCTAAATGTGTGTGCAGCAACAGCAACTAAGGGGTCGGGGCCTTAACAACCAGGTTCTGAGGAAGCAGAAAGTTCTCACCTCCCCATCCAGTCATGGAAGAAGTCGCTGCTGAGCCCTTTGCTGAGGCCATGGGGTCTAGATCCAACAAGAAGCCATCATCAAGGGCACTAAACACAAAGAAAGAGAATAAGAGAGGGCTGCTGACAGAGGCAATCCATTTCTAATGCAATATTGATGCTGGGATATTGATGCAGCTCAGTCCAAACCATTTGTAGTATTCTTGAGTGAGTCTTACTTGGTGGTAGGGGTGGCGGTGACGGTGGGGGCTGGCGCGGTAGGGGGGACAGAGGGCGGAGGAGGTTTGGCAGGTGGCCCGGGGCGAGCAGGGGGAGGCGCACGCCGGGCCGGTGCGACAACAACAGCGGCAGCGGCCGCCACCGGCGAGCTGTTGTTGGCTGTCGCATCCTGCTGCAGAGAAAGGAACCTCGTTTACATGGTGCACAATGCGTTATGTAAGCTGATGTGATTCAACACATGACTTCACAATGAATCACTTCCTGTCTGTAGTAGAAACTGTAGAAAGTCAAATTACCCTCACTCTGCAAAGATCTCAATAACTCTGCTTTGACATTGAAAAGTGCTATAAATAAGTAAAGACCGCTAGATTATGATTATCATGAAATGTAGCTTACCTTAGTGGGCGACCTGCAAAAACAATGATAGCACATGAGTTAAAGAGTTTAATGATGAATGCTGAAACATAATGGCTGTTACTGAGATGGGAGGCAAAGTGACAGCTCAACTATCACTTTGGTGCTTTTCAGGCAGCCAGCATTCCAAAGCAATCACATTCAGTACACATCTGCAATTAATGGACCCACGCTGCACCGCTGAGCAGCAGCATCTCTGCCGTTGCTCCTCTTCAACAAAGCTTCGCTTTTAAACATTGCCGGCACAAAGTGGGAGCTGAATGTTTCTGAACGGCATGCGTCTAAAGCTTTGTGAAAGTCAGGGCCGATTGTGCAGTAAGATGATTACCAAGGTGAATGTGTTAGTAGTGGCATCAGCTAAAAGGCAAGGCTTGTCATTGTCCTGTATGACAATGACAACAGTGATGCAAAGGATGATAGGTCACAAAATGTGAGAAACATGTTAAAAAGAAAAAAGTGTTTTCAATAGAAAAGCTTCCTGAGCAAAATTACAGCCGTTTGCTCAGATGTCATTTCTATAGACTCACTGAAAACTGTAGAACTAAAAAGTATTTATCGATACATACAATGGTATGAATATTATTTATGTCCTTTTCTCGTTGACAGAGAATACTTACTTATCCTCTCTGAGTTGAGTAAAGACAGAGGAAATGAAACGTTAGAGAAGTAACAGGGAATAGAGAGAAAAAAACAAATAGAGCAGTCACTGCAGTAACGCAAAGATGAAACCGTCAACCCAGGTGCATGTTGGACTGCCAAGCTAACCTGAGCTAAAATCACGACAGATATGTCTTTCAGCAGGGCAAGAAGCATTCAACTGTATAATTACGGGATTATTGAAGCTTCAGCTCTGTGTTACTGCTGGTAAACGATTATAACAGGAAACAGCTTGCGGATATGTGTCGAGCTACTTACGGCTTCTTCCCCTCCAGCGTGTTAAGGTGGGTCTCCAGGGACTCCAGAAGACTTTCTGGGGCCTGTAGAATAATAAAGAGGGGTTGATACAACAGGGACGGTAAAAGTTGGGATTGTTCAGAGAGAGCTGACAACACTGATTAACAACCCACGAGAATAGACAGTGGACCACACAGTCAAATAGAAACGCTGAAGAACTGGGTCATGAGTTGATTGGCTGTGCCTCCTCTTGGAATCAGAGTAACCTATGCTGCACCTTTATCATACGGAAAGCTCGTGCTCAGGTTGAGGTCACAATGGTACATCTCCTTAATCGTCATCCTGAAAGATGATAGATGTCACCCAACTGAGGTGGGTGTCTTTATCTCGCTCGCGCATATACTGTAGGTGGCATGGCCCGCAGGGCGCACAGTATATCTAATAGATCATGCTCCTGGTGCACTGATAATTATCTTCCTTGTGCAGTTTTTCAGAATAATCTAATCAACATCTACTTGACAGCACTGAATCATAGACACCGACTCTATTCTCCAAGTCTCTCTGAACGTCAGTCCGTCACTGGGTTCAGATGCTAGACGCATTGTTATTTTCGGTGTACATGCTACCTCTCGGGTGAAAGTATCTTAAATTGTGATTTCAACTTTAACTTTTATGATAGATGGTACTAGAGTAAAATCTACGTGCCTTAAATTTTACATTTTGTCTTTGCAAATTCTTATACGCCAAACCATATCTATATGTTGGCCACAAATCCAGTCTGCTAACACAATACAGGTGCGTAGCTTTGACTCAAGCTAATCTGGCAACTCAAGCAAGTTGCTCAAGCAGGTTTTTACCAAAATCCATTGTCATGAATTGATGAATTTAATCGGTTCAGGAGATCCAACAATCCATCTCTATTTCAAGTACTCTACAATGCAAGTGTCATACATTCGGTATGCTGTGGTTCTGTTTTAAACTATTAGCTCTTTGCGGCCCAACAAGCCTGAGTTTAATCAGACAGCATTACAGAATGCTTTTCATGCAAGTCATTCATACTGCCATGTCACCTTTCTATAGACGTTAGTTATAGCTATAGAGTTTCCACAGCAGAACACAGTTCCTGGGACTCATTCAGGAACCAACAGGACAAATTAGCTTTCTCATTTTGGGAATCACTTATATTTAATGACCCAAAATTTAGGAAACACAAAAGGTAAAAAATAACCTTTACAGTGACTCTATAGCTGTTATAGAAACTCTTCAGCACAACTTGAGGATAACAATCTGTTGTGCCGCGATACAGTTGTTGAACTAAAACTATGTTTGGCTCAGAGATTTAGCAGCGGAAAACAGCCGCCTCAGCAGCATTGCTCAGCATATCGCAGCTTATCCAATAGGCTCTTCCAGTCACATCGTCCCACTTCATCGGAGCGCCCGATGTCTGTCTGCTGGGTGTACTCAGTGCACTGAAAGAGAGTTTAACATGTTGGCCTTCCCTAAGCTGTTTGCTCCCCAAAGCTATAGCTCTGTGCTCACTACTCACACTCTCAGTCTGAATGATCAATCTGCACCTCTGGAAGTGAAAAGAGAAGGAGGGCACAGGGGCCGTCAATCACCAAAACAACCACAGCTCATTGTTTGCACGGAGAATGGAAGTGCACACGAAGCACAGTTTGGATATGTCTCCTTTAGTGAATGTTATATTATTATCAATAATGGTGACCATAGCAGGAGAAAAAAAACAGATGACATTCACACGACCTGCGGCATGTAGCCGTAAAAAAAACTGAGGTATCCAGGAATAACAATTCACTGGAAATAATTAAATGTGAGGAAAAGCCTGAGTCGATCTTACCTGAGTGAGTTCCGGTATGTCATTTTTGTCTATTCCCACTTGCTGTAAAAGAAGAGAGTGACATTTCAGTGCAACAGTTACCAAACAGTACAAGATTCAGCTGCTATTCAGTCATATAGGCTACCTCAGCAATTTTGAAGAATTCTGAAACCCGAGTCATTCGTGTCAGGAATCTTTTGTAGATCTCCAGCCCGTCTTTACACTGGCTTCTCTTCATCTGGAAGAACTTTTCTGGAAAACAGAGAAATGTCAAGTGTGAGTCTTTATCTTCGTTAAATTAAAGAATAAGTCTGGGGTTATTCAATGTTTGTTCTTTCTGTCAACAAATCCCCTGAAACGTCCAAAACCAACACCGAATTGATCCTAATAATGCGCATTTTCTGCCATCACCACATGTACAGTATTTTTACCAGACACCACAGTGTAGCATAGCCGTACTTTTGAACGTTTTGGTGACATGTGGGCATGCTGAACTGCCAACTCAAATACACAGCACCACACTCCTTTAGCTCCACTTACACCACACCACAGTCGCTATGGGCTGCAGCTGCAGCTGCGGTATTGAGCCAATCACTCGACACATGAAATTGAAGAACGCATGTGGTGATTGGCTGCGAGGAAAACCATACAAATTGTCTTTTTCTGGATGCAAAGAGGATAGAATGCAGGCATCATATATCCGGAGAAGTTTGCAGCCCTGAAGAGGAGTGATTCCTTACCGAGCAGGTTAATGATGCCATCATTGTAGCAGGCATATAACTTTATCAGATCTTTGAAGAGGAGGAGAAAGCAGGCATTTATCACCCCATTGGTCAGTTCCTGTGCATGCACCTACGGACAGAAATAAAAGCCAGGAGGAACAGCACGATTAGGATTTTGAAGATGAACAGATGGAACGCAAAATAGCTTTTAAATGAGAACGAGCTTAAAAGAAAACTGTCTTTAATAAAAAAAGACAATGGAATTTTAGCAGAGGCAGATACTGTTAGGTTAATACTGATTTAATGTATAAGAACAGTTTGATTATATAGTCCTTCTATTTTTATGTATTGGAGATATACAGAATAGAGAATTGTATATTACACAGTGAGGAATAAGAAGGTGGAAATCCACCTCATTTATATACGTGTTTGTTTCAATGACAGAAGACATAATTAAATTCAACCCTGTGAGAATGGTCCTCAATGTGAAAGGGGGCTATAATTGGCATATCTTCATAGATGCTGCTCCAGCACTAAGCTTTGTTAAAATCCAGCAGGCAGCTTTTTTCTCCACTGTGATTATCCCTCGGCAAATTCAGTAACCTTGTGTAGTGACTTTGTTCCCTAATAGCGAGTCACTCACTTCAAAATCCAGCAGCGCGTCGATCTGGCTCTGCAGGGTGGGCATTCCTTTCAACAGCTTCTCCACTGACATGGTCCTCATCACTCCGTCGGCTCTGAGACCGGAGGGAGACGGAAAGAAATAGCACATGTGTGAACTAAGCAGCAGCTCTCAAGACAAAAAAGACTCAGACTCATATACTGTCTGTCTGGCAACACATAGAATACCTGTGTATACCTGTCACGCATCCTGTATTATCCACCAACGTGCCTGAGCTCTATTCTAAAGTTTGCAGTTATTTTTCAGTGCCGGCTTATGTAGCCAGAGGGACCTTGTGTCTGCCAGCTAAACAGAGCCGTCCACTCTGTGAGCAAGAGCAATAACCCACTCTGTATTCACCTCTGCACTTAGTGCACGCAGTATAGCCGTGCACTTGGCCCGACGCCGGGCTTGAGTCCATCCCATGCACTAATAGGACCCCAGTGGGATGTGTGTTATTCTGATAGATGTGGAGGGCAAGTAAGATGGGGGCATGTTCAGGTCTCGGGTAAACTAACAAAGTAAAAAATCAATAATAATGCTGAAATAGTCATGCAGCGCGGTGCCGTGAGAAATGAGAAACGGTACCCTTTCTTGACCCGGCCAAAGTCGAAAGCCATCTGTCTGTAGGCGAAGGCCTTCTCGTTGAGATAGCGGCTGTAGCGCCTGATGAATGTGGACATGTCATAGCCTGAGGAAGAAACACAGGAACAGTCTCCACTGTCAATTCAGTGCAGAGGGTTAGTGGGCTCTTAAAAAGGTTTACAAAAAAGTCACCCAAAAAAAAACGATTGTAAAGAGTCTTTAGCGTTTAGAGGTGCAAACACTCTGCCTGTGATAAATATATGGGAGACAAAATGTAATAAGTCATCTCTTCAACATTTTGGAAAATCTGCTTACTTATTTTTTGTTCCCGAGAGCTACATGAGAAAATTGACGCCATACTCTTGCCTGTACGCTAAGCATGGCGCTAAAGCTAGGCGCAGATTAGCTTAGCATCAAAATTTGAATTAGGTGGAAAAAATGCTTTTACTATCATCTCTAAAACTTGGTTCTGGAACTTAAAGTGTACCAAAACCAAGGCACATCAAATTATAGAATGCCATGAGTCTGTTAGCTTAGCTTAAAGACTGGAGGCACGGGGAGACAACTAGGCACTGTTGAAAAACAAAGATATCTAAAGCTTTAGAGATGATGGTAGTAAGGGGTATCTTCTCCTCTAGCGCTTGGCAAGAAGGCAAATAAGTGTTATTTTTCCCAAAACATTGAACTATGCTTCAACAATAAGGAGGACTTTAGCCCATGCTTAGATTGATACTTAAGTGTTAATTGTAATCCGGATTATGTAGTCTATAAAATGTACAATTTGGCTTCCTAAACTCTGCTGATACTCCATTCACCCTAGATAACTAAATGTCCATGACAACAGTCTGAGAGCCCAGTGTTTATCACCATGGAGATGGGTATAATTAAGGGGGAGCAAGGGATTAGGGGAGCTGGAACTGAGGGATGGATAGAGGAGTGATTAGGCTGGTTATAACATTCAAGCTCATTCTGCTGTCGCTTATTAAAACAGGTGTTAAATGTATTAAATGTAAGTAGGAGAGGGAGAGTGGAACACAACAATAAAAATGGGGAATTCATTGACAAAGGAAAGAATGAAGGGCATGAATTCGGGTTGAAAATGATGGAGGGCTGGGTAAGTCAAAGACAGGGAGGAAAGAAACAAAACCCACCGTGGGAGCCAGTTTTGTCCAGGAAGTTGCTGAGGTTGAACAAGCTGTTTCTAGATGCCAGGAACTGCAGGAATTTCTGCAGGAGAGAACAAAGGCACAGGGTTTAGTTCTCCGCCAGGCACTAAATGACAAACAGGGAAATGGCTCCAATTTTGGCTGAGGCAAAAAAATAGCTTAATTAGCATTCTCGATGAAACAGATTCAAGACGTCTCACTACAACACTGCGACGAATCTTTAATGGATAATACATATCGACGAAACTAAATTCAAAAATATACTTTCATCAACTGAGAAATAAGCAGACATTACAACACACAGTTATGAATGAACACTACATATCCCAGCAGTCATGGCTTGTTATATTTTCATGGTGATATTCAAACAGATGGCTCCATTTTAAATATAAAAAGGTTTGTTTGACGTTCACAGCCATCTCAAAGGGGCTGTTCGGCGCTTTCAGCGCTAAGCCTGTGAAAGTGCCTGCAGCAGAAAGTGGAATTAATATGAGAGGTGTGATTCTATACTCGTCCTTTTTCATCAGTGATTAGGGAGAAATCCAGCATTAAAGGAGCAACGCTGTAGCCTTCGTGAGTGGGAGGGTGTGAATAATGAATTAGACACATGAAGGGGACCAGAGAACACAGCATAATAAAGACAAACAGGCTCCCTCTGCAGCCCTGCAAGAACAAGCTTACCACAGTGACACACGTGGACATAAACGCATACCACACACACACACACACACATACAACACTGCTGATGCTTATTCAGTGGCTGCATTTACACAAAACGGAGCATACTAACATGAGGGAGGCTAAGGATGAAAAATACTCCCTGGAGAGATGGTGCGCTACCACGATACCTCCCCTCCTCCCACTGTCTACTTCACTTTCATTCTCTCTCTTCAGTCAATACTCACACTATCATCATTAGGGACACAACAACAGCAAAGCTCTGGCTTCAAAACAAACAGGTCTCAGGAGACCGAAGACACATGCAGTACTGTGTACATACATTGCCTCGTCTAACATAGTTTGAATCACAGTTTTGACTCTGTCCTCTTGAGCGCAAACATAGGGACAAATATCACTTCATCATGTTATTCACACACACACACACAGCTTATTTGTGAAACGTGTGTGTATCCCATAGTAGCTCATGGCACCACAATTGTTTCTGTATCGACTGCAGAGGTTAATTCTATTATCTTGATATTGCTAAATCTCTTCTGCTTTCCACCCAATGCATGCTGGGAAGGCGACCCCCTCACCCAATGATTTTGACTCGGGATAAGTATTGAGGGTAAATGAATAACTAATGAGCTCGGGCTTGATCTCACAGTATTCCTCTCTGTCTTCTCAGTCTCCATCAACTACAGCACACTCTCTCCGACTCTTTCCTATTGCAGAATACTTGCTCCTTTCTCCTGTATTGTCTATCTTTGTCTCTCTCTCTCTCTCTCTCTCTCTCTCTCTCTCTCTCTCTCTCTCTTTCTGTCTCTCTCTCTTGTCATCTGCAATTCAGTGGCAGTTAGTTTCTTTGATGGGCTGTAAAGGAGCATCTGTTTATCTCTCTGAGTTCCCCCTTGGTGCCCATTCAGAGCTTTCTTCAGCTGTCAGGACATAAATTGGGTCGGGGGGGTCAGCACCGGGAAGCAGGAGGCCAATCCCTTTGCTAATACCATGGCTGGTGCTGAGGTCAAAATGTACAACCATGCAGCAAACGTAAAAAATGTAAAAGGCCTTGTGCAGAGAGGACATGGGGGTGAAGTAAGGCCAGCTACTCATAACATTATGTTCTCTGTTTTAATTTTCGGCATTAATTGATATTTGGCCACTAGAGGGCAGGCACAAGCTGTAAACACAGCACTGACATATTGTCACCTTGTATAATGTAGTTCTTAAGTGATAGCACGCAGTTTACACATCCAGCTGGCAGCGGTGCAACATTAGCATTCATTTGGAGGCGTGTCTCTCTCCACCTGGTGAATGTAGGTCCTGTTCATTCACCTTTTTCCTCTATTTTGGTCTCTTCCAACTCCTAAGAAAGTTATCTGCATCCTTAGTTGCTAAATGCAGCTGTAGTCGCTAACTGTCGTCTGGCGTTTGTGGCTACGCAGGTAGCGTACATTACAAAACTCTGTCTTTTGACTCCATGTTTGTATAAAATATTGATAAGTGCATTTTAAAGGTTTTTTCACATTGTCTGTCAGCATTACATATATTTTTCGTATCAACTTGTTCCAGCTCTTCATTTAAAGCTATTGACAATTTTTTTTATGGATGCAGACATCCCATCATGGAGTAAAGTCCCTAGCTCAAGGGTATATGAATACTCACTCACTTCCCCTGACCGCATTTTACCAGACATTAAAACCAGCAACCAACAAAGGTACGTATTCAGGGTGTGTGTAGTAACAGTGCGTTGTCGCCTCACCTCGTTGCCAGTCACCATGAGGTGGTGTGTGGTGATCAGGGCCTTGAAAACCACCACCCAGCTGGCGTTGCCGACCCTCTCCATCAGCACGTCGGCCATCTGGGGGACATTCACATTGGTCTCCTGGGTGGCCTGGATCAGGTCTGAGAAGCATCGAGGAGAGGAGAGACAGAAGGTCAGATGGTGGATATTAGCAGGGGAGAGACTCGGCACCGGTACAGAGTGTGCTGAATCCCTTTTTATTCAAGCAATGACAGCAGATGGGCGAGAAATGACAAACAGGAGTCGATGCGGTGGTACTGGGTGTGGGCTTTGCTGCATTTCACAGCCGCACTCTCTCGCATCCTAATTTTCACTTTGATACACCACGAGTATTTCCCTGAGCAGTGTTTCCTCAAATGAGCAAAGCATCTGAAAAATGTAATGAGATATTTTCACGTGTTCCGTATTAAAACCCGTTTTAAAACCAGTAGTAAGGTGCTCATTTAATATCTGTCATTTTTTGAAAGTTTAGAAACATCTGACAGCTTTTGCAGATGTAAATGTCCGTGTAAATGAGTTAATCCCTCGTATTTTGACATCAAATACATTTTTAGTAAGTAGCATACTTATTGCAAGCAGGAAGGGCTAGTTTCTATCAACAGAGTTGCCTCTGGAGGATGCCGTTTTCCATCTCATTGAAATGTATTAAAATAAGTGCTTCACATTACACCACCATCGCCCGGCGTGAGTGAGTCACACTGACTACTGCTTCTCCCTGCAGTCAGTCATTGATACCAGCACAGGCAGAGGAAGAGTGGAATATTCCACAGCAGAGAAACTGTCGTGACCAAAAGGGAAGAAAGGATTGCAACGCGAATCACACTGTTGAATCAGAATCAGCCACACAGACAGACGGTGGTCGATGGAGTGGTGCAGAGGTAAGACCTGGTGTAATACGGCACCATCAGCAGATTATTGACTCTATAAATCCATGTATTTCATTCTATAATGATGAGACTTGTCATAATACAAGTGTCCTGTCAAACAATCTCTGGAAAGGTTAAGCTATTTAAGCAATCTGCTATGTTATGAAATTCACTTTATGGGGGAAAATACCCAGTCAGTGGCCAGACAAGAGTATGAGCATTTAACTTAAATCTGCACTCATCAATATTTCTCACTATGTGTAACATAACGGGTCACGACCCCACAGAGATCTCTCACTTGACCCTGCAGTTCCCCTCGGTTCTTTTGAAGCCTTTTAGCATCTGTAAGCTCATTATTTGGTTTTTACAGCTTTAACTGATTCACCGCGCTCATCAGCGTAATATACCCATCCAAAGTAGGCAGCTGTTCTCAGTGAAAAGAAACCGATGATCCCACCAAACAACAGACAGACAAAGTTAGCAACTATGGTGAACATAGTGGAGCGTTTACCAGCTAATGAGACAGATATTTCCCTCAACAGTCAGTCGGAACCCAAAAAAAGCTAAAAGGAGAGCTAATATTGGGCTTACATTTGTTGGGAGGCCAGAAACATGACTCTAAATATGATAATGCTGCTCCATGTCTGCTGGATATATTTATTGACATATTATTTGGTGACATGTCATTAGGTCATAGTATGATAATTTATTACAGCTTGTTCTGCAGTCCCGCAACTGTATCAATGCTTCTTTAATTTTAAAACATCAAGGATATGTGATGAAAATGGCTAATTTCCATTACTTGAACCACCTTTAAAATTGAATAATGTTACTATTAGTTATTGTTTATGCTCATGGAACACTAAGGAGAACAATCAACACTACACGACAACCATGATACATATACCCGCATAGCACTTAGTAATTTAACTGCTAAGTTGACCAAGAGAACAAGAGGACCAAAGGCGGCAACCTCCGAGTCTGAGAAGTGAAGCCAACGTGTAAGTGTCTTAAACTCTTATTCTTTCTACCGGACATCAGGGGGCGACTCCTCTAGTTGCAGACAGAAGTCAATTTCTATTGAAGTCTATGACAAAATGACTCTACTTCTCATTGATTTATTACCTCAGTAAACATCGTAAACATGAGTTTATGGTCTCAATCGCTAGTTTCAAGTCTTCTTCAGTACAGCATGATGTTCATTTAAAAATAAAAATACGTCACAGGGACTACGTCCACTTCTTATTCACAGTCTGTGGCTGACACCTAATAAAGGAGACCAATCTGTAGTTGTGTGTAGTATCAGCATCTGTCAGACGGCAGTAAAGCCTTTGTGAAGACTTGTCTATTCACTGGCAGATACACAAGCTGCCCTCCACAGTAAACCTCAGGGCATATCTCCAGAGACAGTTTGAGGAATGACAGGTGTAGGTGTGTAGTGATGGACAGAGAGGGACAGAGAATAAGACCGGCGTCATTGTAAACGCCTTGATTCAGCCGAGCAGGGCAGACGCAGAGCAACTTCTATGAAGCCCATGTGATTCATTAATGGTGTCATATCCATCCTGCATATTTACTGCCAGCAGACCGCCAGTCAGCTAAGAGGTGTCTAATGGATTTTCCTCCCTGGCTTAATATAGACTAAATGGCAGAACACCTCACACCTTAAACACTTTACACATGGCGCAATCTGTCACTCGTTAGAATGACATGGAGTAATATCTGGTTAGTTTGATTAAGTGCACTCAACTTATGAATGCATTGGACAAAAAACTGCACCGTGACAAAGCCAACAATCTTTAAAATCCTGACATCTGCCAAACATACCGTGAAGAGAAACATGGTACAGACGAAGCCACTACTAGCTTCTACTACCATACTACTAACTTTGTTCTGCTTCAGAGGACAACATTATAGTACCATATTTACCTGACAAAGAAATGTGGTTACGTTGCAGATTCAGATTAAAACATGATGCAATAATATTTATTAAACTTTCCAGCATAATAAATTGAAAGCTCAACAGAAGTTAAGGAGATTTAAATAGCCCACATTGTGCTGATAATGCCTCTCATTAAACTCTTTACTTGATGTACAAATTTGAATGCAGGACTTTTACTGTTCAGTATTTATAGTTTTATTATTAATACTTTTACTTCAGGAAACACATTTTGAGTAGGCCTTCTTCTTCTAAAACTGCCTTTACCAACATTCCCAGTTAGAGAAAGTAAAGCAAAATAGAATTCCCCTGGGGCCCTCAAATCACTCAATCCGCCCCTGAATAACACAACTAAGTCTCTGTTACAGCAGAGGTAGCTTCCAAACAAGGGTATTATTTGCTTGTTTCGACATAACCACCACGGTCCTATTAAGTAGAGCATGGATTTAATTAGTGGAGGTATTTTGCTGGCGGACGTGTTATTAGTGTTATAAGTTATTATCAAGTCTTACAGCGGGGAAATACAGTCTCACTCACGGGGGAAAACGACGCCCATTCGGAGCGCGTGGTTGGAGTATGTGCTGTTTGTTTACATTCCATTCATTATTATTTCTAACCCTTGTTAGATTTTTCTAGATTTGTGTGTGCCTTCGAATTTACTGAGCATCCGTAACATGAAAGGGGGACTCTATTTAGTATCAAATACATCAAATACTGACCAGTGATTTTCATACCAAAATGGTTGAATCATTTATTATGTTTCTATTACCATGAATACATCAAGTCCAATAGCCCACGGTGGATGTGGTTGGAAAGGGACTGCGTGAATAGTCATGCGAAAATGTATTCAAGGTCACTTTGCTTTGACCGTCATGCTACGTGTCTGCTCGGGCGTTTGCTTCCTCCATCATGCTTTCATCATGCGGTAATAATTGCTGTGCACGTAGTAAGGCAGCATGTACATACATACACACACACACACACACACACATGCAAATACATGCACGCACGCACAAAGTGAGAGGGATAATCCCTACCGGGCTGATGAGTCAGCAGCCTGCATCATCCTACGCTTTTCATCTCTCCGTCTCTGTGTGTCTCCTTCCCTGTCTGTCCGTCTGTCCGTCTGTCTCTCCGCCTGTCTCTCTTTATCTTTCCCACAGTGAGAGTGAGTGATTTTGCCAGACTGTGAGACAAACTGCACAGTCACTAAGATCTACATAGGTAGTTGACCTTAAATCTACTGTAGACCATGTCCTAATAAGAGAACAAAACGAAATTGAATGTACATGAGATTATAGCTGTAATTCGAGAGAAATTGTTTTTTTTTCTCTAATTATTTGCTGTTGCACTCCGCTTGTCAATCAAACAGGGGTTTCATGCTCAGATGTCGCTTTTCTTTGTCTGTTCAGCTATGGCAGCCATTGCCCCTCACGATTAACACTGCACACAGTAGGATCCTTTTGAGTGGTATGAACCCCATTGATAAAACATGTCATGAGGTCACTACTCTATGAATCACTAATGCACCAAACGGTGAACTGATATCCGTTAGTTTGAAAATGCGCTGGATAAAGTCTCGAAGAAAGAAGAAAAACAGTCTCTGTTCTGATTGAGATGCTGAACAGCAACTCAGCAGGATCTCCCGACTCACCCGTCTCTCCCCACCTCCCTTCTCAATTATTCATTATGTGTGAGTGTGAGTATGAAAAAGAGAGAGAGAGAGAGCAAGGCAGCTTGATATGTGGCTGTTCTCAAGCGCTAGCACACACAGGCAGTCACGCTGACTAACAATTACAGCGCTTGCATGCTTGGATCGGTATTCTGTATGTTGCAACATACAGCGAATTTGTATCATAAAAATTGTATTGCCTGTCAGTACTGTACTGCAAGAATAGTAAACTGATTTTGATGTGCAAAACTTTTCCCAAGCAAAGGAAAAATACCGCTGCCGTCTTAACATTGTAGAGTTAGGTGAGACAAATCTCAACCCTCCATATTTTCCAGGATTTGGTGATTCACTTAAAGCTTCACTCATCTGTGTTTTTATATTAACAACTAATGAAATGACGAAGTGTAATGTGACATCATTTGCTTTTAGTGATAAACCCAGAATTAGCCCCCAACCCTGCAGTTCCCCTCATACTTATAGAGCGCTTTCAGCTCATTCTTTCCTTTTTTACGACTCATTTCTTTTTTTTTTTACAGTTGTTTACTGTTTTGGTTCACTCTCACCAACGTCTATTGCTGCAGCAGGCAGGACAAATCTGTAAAAACCCACTGTACGCTCCCTGCC